CTATATTGAGTTTGACAAACCCACACCTTAGCTGCATGCAACAGCTAGACCGGTAGGTCTGGGGTGACAAATGTCATTTAACTTTTCAACGCCTGAGAAACATCGTGGCGGGTTCATTAGTCATAGTATGGTTATAGCGACTCACATAGGGAGTTAACAACACATAAAGTTTACGGGGATTTTCTCAAACAAAAAAGGGTTTTATGTTGATTTAAACTCACTTTTTATATCAGTAAGTATGGATATTACTTATACACTTTCGGTCTTGGTATTTAAGACCACACATCACTTTTGTAAGGAAACTATTGGATTTTTCTTGGTAACATCACATAAAGTTTGTGAGGATTTTCTCAAACTAAAAAGGGTTTTATGTCGATTTAAAATCACATTTTGTATCAATAAGTATGGATATTACTTATACACTTTCGATCTTGAAATGAAGGACCACACATCACTTTTGTGAGTTTATGTCGATTTAAACTTGCCTGAATTACAATTTTGAATGGAAAAGTACTAGCACACTATTAGTCTTGACATTTTAGACTACAATACATTTTAGAAGAAAATATTGGATTTTCTTCGAACCAACACTACTTTTACAATAAAGGATTTCAACATTTCATTCAAAAAGCTTATGAACTCACCAATTTAATTGTTGACACTTTTTCAAAACTACTTATATTCTCAGGAAATCAACGAACCCAGGTAACCACAAGCTTTTGAGGATGGAACGTTACGACGTTGAACAACTATTTTTACCTCATGTTGTAATCAATCATTTTGAAATATGTAACACTTCAAACCATGTAATTCTTTTCCAATTATATTTATGATTGGTTGTATTGCTTTGATCACTATTGTACTCGTTGTTATGATACTATACATGAAGTCCGCCATCCCCGGACGTTTCTGTCATCCTTGGTTTGGGGGTGTGACAGAAAGCCCGAGGAATGTTTGTATGCTTGATGTCTTCGTGATTTTTACATGTGTATGTTATATGTTTCGGGCTTCAGTCCAATGTCGGGGCAAGCCCGAGGAAGGTTATATGTTATGTGTTATAGGTTCCGGGCTTCGGCCCGATGTCGAGGCAAGCCCGAGGAATTTTTATATGTTTATATTATATGTTTGTTGATATGCTATATGTATACTGGACTTCGGTCCGATATCGGGCGGGGCCCGATGTAGCGGACAAGGCCCAATTTATGTTATTATGTGATTATGTGTATGGTATGTGGTACTTCGGGGAGACTCTTTAAGTTTCGTGCTTACGGTTTTCAATTTTTGTTTCAGGTACATCCGCTCGTAAGGGAAAGAGGTCGGGATGACTGCAATGCACACACCACAACGTTTTAGCCTGGGAGGATTTACTCTGATGTTTTAACATATGATTTTGATATATTGACAGATGTTATGATATTTTTAAGACACATGATTTATGATTTTATGATGATGAATGATACATATGGTTATTATTAATGATTTAAAATAAAATTTTTGGACCGTATTTTTGGATGTTTCAAAAATGGTTTGTCGAAGATATTGTTGAGGAATTTGAGCTATCTGGAGGAGATGATGACCTTGATGCGCGCGCGAGAGAGAGATGTTGGTTTCTTATATTAATGAAAATGGAAAAACCTAATGAAATAGAAAAAAAAAAATCTTGATCATTTCACAAGTATCTAACTCTAATTATTATTTTTTTTCAAAAAAATATATTTGATCATTTTATAAACTACAAAAATCATTTATATAATTTTATCTTTAATTAATACATCTCCATAAAAAGGCCAGATGAACATAAACATAAAACATGCAATAATTAAGTCTCTTTTTTAGGTTAATAAAGTGTTTGGGAATCTAGTATTAAATGTTTTGGTATCCCAATATTTTGTGCAACCAACGTTAGTTTCAAGTATTCCTACTAACGGTAACCGGGCAGAGAATAATTTGGCCATACACATACACGAATCGCCGCCGCCTACGGCTGCCACCTCCTCTCATAAATCATCCGTCAACCGCCTAAAAACCCTCCCCCGCACCCCATTCTTGGATAGAAATCCTCCACGCTCCAATCATCAAAACCCACGCGCCGCCCCAAAGCAACACTCCCCCCGCCCCCACCACCTAAAACATCAGTGACACATCGCAGCTCACCACTAGCTCCCCACAACCTTTTGTCGTCACTTGTAATTATCACCACTGTTATCCACCCAAATCCCCCCTGAAAAAAGGAGATCTGAAGATTCAACAATCGGATTTTAAACCCCAGAAACCCAAATTATTAAAAAGTTCGAGACTTTATTTATGAATCGAACTCACCTGAAGCAGACCAACCATAGATGGGAGGAGTAACATCATCGATCGCAGCTAAGTTCGCCTTCTTCCCACCTACTCCGCCGTCTTACACGGTGGAAGCCGACGAGTCCTGCGGCGGCCAACTCTTTATTCCGGAGGTTCCTAGAAAGGAAGGCGTCGACGTACTAAAGCTTCGAACTAAAAAAGGCAACGAAATCGTAACTGTACATATTAAACACCCAAAAGCTTCTGCTACACTTCTTTATTCTCATGGTAATGCTGCCGATTTGGGTCAGATGTTCGAGCTTTTTGTCGAATTGAGCCTCCGTCTTCGTGTTAATCTTGTTGGGTATTTTCTTGATTCTTTTTCAATTTGTTATCTGGAATTTAGTGGGTGTTGATTAATTTCGCTTAAAAAGGTTAAAATTGATCATTTCTCTCTTTAGTAAGTTCGTTTTAATACACAAATTTCAAGAAATTTAGTATTTTTACTACTAATTTAGTATGAAATTGAAGGTGGTCGAGTAACGTTTGATCTTGTTCAATTAGGGTTTATGTAGAACCTTGTTCATATAATTCCCTATAGTTCTTGTTCGTATGCATCTTCTTGTTCAAAACGTTTGTGTCAAAGAAATCAAATGTAGAAAAGCGTACAAGTAGTTGTTATAAGAAAACTGATTATCAAGATATATATAAAATTACGTATCTAACCCTAGCTTTAATAAATTGATTATCTGATTTTGATTCTTCAAGCGACAATAATCACTTTCAAAACGCATATCCAAACACCCACTTAATCCAAGAAATAGTAGCAAACTTACATTTATTTGTATATTATAGTGTCCTACTTCCATTTCTTCCTATCACAACATAGTACTTTCATTTTTTTTTCTTATTAAAGAATTCATTTTTGAAAAACCTACCAAATTATAGCATTGAAAATTGCTTTTTATTCTTATAAGATTGATAAAATAGATAAAATAGGAAGAAATGAAAGTATATTGTTATTTCTTGCATTAAACCATAATTTCAAATGTCTAAACCGTTATCTGTATATATGCAGCTACGACTACTCCGGATATGGGCAATCAACCGGAAAGGTTTACTATTAACTTCATATACACTTTTTTTTTAATATTTTTTTATAAACAAATCTATGGTTTTAAATAGCGAAATCCCTGATAAAGTCCCAATATTTTGAACCAGTCTACAGTATAATCTTAATTTTTATTTTTTGAACAGAAAAGTCTTAATTATCTAATTTTATACGATAATGTCATTTTTGTTGAAAATGATAAAGACCGGTTCGGTTCGTTATCAGTTCAAAAAATAAAAGTTGGGATTAAATCATAAATTGAACGAAAATATTAGAACTTTATCGGGATTTTTTTTTTTTTTTTATAAATAACATGACAGTTGACAACCAATTTTTTTAAGAGAAATTATTATTTAATTTCTCTTTTTTTAATTAACAGCCATCCGAATGTAATACGTATGCGGACATTGATGCGGTATATAAATGTCTAAAGGAAAAATACGAAGTCAAAGATGATCAACTAATTTTATATGGTCAATCTGTTGGTAGTGGGCCCACCATTGACCTTGGATCACGGATACCCGATTTAAGAGGTTTGGTTCTACATAGTCCAATCCTTTCGGGCCTAAGGGTTTTGTATCCTGTCAAACGAACCTATTGGTTTGACATTTATAAGGTGATTATTATATTTTGTGCATAATAATATACGTTTTTTTTATTAAATTCTTTTTAAATATTGTAAATGAAATATTGTTAACTATTTTTTGTTATGTTCTCCGTTGGTTTCAGAATATTGAGAAGATAAGTTTAGTGAGTTGCCCGGTTCTTGTCATACATGTAAGTTTTATCAATCTAATTTTTTTTTTTTTCATTAATATAAAATATGCTTAAAATATATTTGAGAAAATGACGAGACATTTGGGAAATGGAAGGATAAATATTTATGGGAACAATTTTTTGAAAAGTTATCACTTAATAAATGTAATTATGTAAATTCAATATATAGGGAACATCGGATGAAGTTGTGGATCATTCACATGGGAAACAACTATGGGAGCTTTGCAAGAACAAATATGAACCATTATGGTTAACTGGAGGAGGCCATTGTAACCTTGAGTTCTATCCCGAGTTCATCCGCCACTTAAAAAAGTTTGTTTTGGCCCTTGGAAAATCAAAAACTTCCATTAATGGCACAAAACCCTCAATAATACCCGATGTTGAGAATCAAAAGAAAGTGTCGGAAAGTGGCTCCACGGTTTCTAAAGATACGTTTGAGTTACGTGCTGACCTTCCGGAAGTTTCTAGAAATAGTTTAGATAGTAGACTCGAGAAGTCAAAGAAGACAACAAACAAGCCGGAAAAGTCTCGAATGAGTGTTGACATTTTTAGAAGACGAAAAGGGTTGGTTTGGTGATTACTTGTTGAGCAAGTTTCGTGTAAGAAAGGTAACTTGTTGCTCAAGCTTTTCGTCTTTTTTTTTCTTGATGTTTTGTATTGTTTTGTTATGAAAAATGAGTGTTATTGTTATTACTAGTCCTTTGTATCATTGTATGTTATATTGAGCATAGGTCACAAGGTATCCACTTCTTGATTTTAATTATCTTTTTTTTTTCCGCCCTTTTTTCGTCATGTAAAATGAACAAATATATCGGAATATGAATTGGTGTGAGTTCAATTCTTTTGTCCACACAACAATTGTATGTTATGTCAACCGTTTTTTTATTGTGATCAGTTTAACCTGCTATAAATAAAATATAACTCAAATTAACCGATATAAAACCATCGAAAAAATAGTTCTTTACATAAAACACAACACAATCCAAAACAAGACACCAATCAAAGTCACATTTTTTTGGTCTCTTCGTCTTCTAAAGGATCACGAAGTGTGCCAAACATCCAATCCATCCATACGGTATAATGCCCGTAGTTGTGTCGGTATGTTGTATGATGAATAGTGTGGTAGCCCGCACCCATAACGGGCCATATTTTCCCATCTACACAATCATGAATGTTTGCGGTCCATATGGCTTCAATAAATAACAACCCTATGTGCGTTGTGAAATGTGTTGGCACTAGGAATAACGCGATAACATGTGGCACGGCTTGTAGTATACCATCTAGAGGATGGAACGCCAAACCTAATCCAAAATCATAAACAAAAATATTAGCGATATTGTTTTCTTCACCAAAACACATTCAGGCCTGATGCGATCATACATCAGGCCTTATGCGTACTATATGGATCAGGCCTTATGCATAGACTTGATCCATCAGGTTATTTATGCAATAACCTGTTATGTATTATGCATAAAACATAATACATACAATCAGACTTGATTCATACCGGTATGATGAATCACATTTGATATGCATACCGGTATGAATCAGTCTGAAATTGATATGCGTGCAAGTGGTATGAAAAGGGGACTAACCGGCGAAAGGTGAAAGTGTGTTTTGCTTATTGTAGATATGATGAGTTGCATGAAGGTATTTGTAGAGAGGTTTAATGTCATGTAACTCTCTATGCATCCAATAAATACCGAATTCAACGAGTATAAGATAAAACCCTAAATTCAAAGCATATGAAAACCAGCCAACGTCACTTATCCTTGAAAAACATCTGGTCCATCCATTTTCAACCATGTACTCCGAGATCGTAGGAAGAAGACAATACCATGGCATCGCCTTCATTGCCACATATATTTGTAAACCCATTGCTTTTCTTGAAGGAATTGCATCTGCAACCCAATTTACAAGATTTCAGTAACACAATCAATTAATTAACTTCAGAAATTGCTGATATATAAACTATTAACAATGAGAAACCAAATAAAGATTCAAATTAAACAACACCCATGTAATCAGCCATTAAATTCGATCAAATCATCACAAATCAATTGTCCAAAACATGAACAGAAAACAGAAACTGAAATCGACAACAAAACCCCTAAATTGACTAAGCCCAATTCGGGTGTTTAGCTCTAACCTTTGGGGAGAAGGATGTTACGCTTAAAGTGGTAAATGTAGAAGCATAAGAGGAAGCCGGAGACGAAGTAAAGAATGGTGGCGGCAATGTAGTTACGGAGCCACCCTTGGACGGCGTGTGGGAGCGGAGTCCACAGATTTTCCGGCAATAAACTTCCGAGCACTAATTGATTGTACAGAGTTGTCTCTTTGATGAATAATTGCAGGTAATCGTCCATAGTTTTGGGATAACAATGGCGGATGGTGGATGAGGTAGCTAGTGTTTTGGAGGTGGAAAGACGAGGGAAAGTGGTGATTTGTGGAGTTGAAAGGAGGACAGCGATATGTATAAGTAAGACGGGGCCCGGGGGTCTACTTCACATTCTCTTTTTGTTAATAATTTATATATATTTGTTGTAATTAGAACTTTTCATTAAAAATTATAATATTAATTTTAAAAGATATATTTTCTCTTGTAAAATTGAATATAAATAAAATATAATTATTCCAAATCGCATAAGATTGATTTTCAAAAACTCCATTCAGATCATGACGAAATGTAGAAGTATCATGTGATAGGTAACAACAAGACGAAGTATTGTATAACAAGTAAAACGAGACTATCTTTGATTGAAAAAACGACTAATTAGCAAGAAAGAAACTTGAAATATAATACTAAAACTGGAATATAATTAACAGGTGAGATAAAAATAACAAATAAGAAATAATAATGTTAAAAAAAAATTAATTGATATACTAATAACTAACAAATTTAAAATAACGTCAAAATAATTGAATGTTATAAGATAGATGAATAATACATATAATTAAATATTATTAAATAGTACTAAATATAAAACAATAATTTATCAATTATTTATGTTTAAACTAAGATAAATAACAAATTTAAAAATGAAGAATTTCTTACTCTTAAACATAAAAATATTATATTCGATCAACTTAATTTTTTAATATCATATTTATTCTTTATAAACTTTCAAATATCATATTCGTCCAAAAAAAACAATGTTTTAATAGTTTGTAATAATTTCTTATATCTTAGAGTTATTAAAATAATTAAAAATTTTAACCATATTATCTCTACCTCTATAATAATAAAAACGTCTACCTCTAAATTGTTGGAATATTGTTTTTTTTTATATATAAATAAAATGCTTAATCTTCAACCATATTCATGAAATTTACGAATTGATTGTTTAGTTTTTGTTGTTATTAAAAATATTATCATGTTGTAGATGAAAAATATTTTAGATTTTACCATTGATATTTTGATGTTTAAGAAAGACACATATAATATTTTAATATTTAAGAATGACATATCACATTATAGTGTTTAAGAAAGATATATAGAATATTTAAAGTTTTATGAAGAACAAATATGATATTTAGATATTGGTTTGGAAAAATATAATATATTGATATTTAATCTACTATAATAAACGAATATATTTTTGTCAGTTGTCAATCATTTAGTTTGTCAAATGTCATTTTGTGGTTACTTTGAATTAGTTCTTTTTCTCACATGTCATTTTATGAGTTTTTATATTTTATTAAATTTCACATAATATTTTAATTTAATAATTACAATAATTTCTACTCTAATAAATGAATGTTTATTTTTTCCTCTTGTCACACTCTCATTCAATTTGTCAACTGTTATTTTATAGTTGTTTTGAATTTTTTTTTTTTCACATGTCATTTTATGAGTTTTTTTCTATTTTATTATATTCCACATAATATTTTAATTAAATAATTACAATAAATGTCATTAATCAAATTACTTTTTAATTTCAAAATTCTTAAATTTAAAGCTCATTATTATTATTTTTTTTTTGTTTATTTGTTTAAATTTTAAGGATAAAAAACATTTTCATTATTATAATAATGCATTATTTTTCTTATAATGCATGAGCCTCACAACTAGTAAAAATCTATAGGAAATTTTACAAAGAACAAATAAATAATACATATTACTATATTGTTACATTAAAGTAAATATTAAATAATAGTTTAAATCAATTATTTATGTTTAAATGAAAACTCGACATCCTCTGTAATATATATTTTTTTTTCTTTAGTTAAGGTAAAACTTCTGAAATATACAACCATAAAAAGTTCATAATTCAAAACTCGGATAAGTATAAATAGTTATAGGATTATTTGTATATCCTTATAAGTTTCACGATTGTCAAATTGTATATCCTCATAAGTCTCACGATTGTCAAAATATAATGTTACAAATTTGGGTTCCACCAAAAAAAAAAAAAAAAACCTATAATGTGGATATTTAAAAATCTGGTCAAAATAAGAACAATAACATCTCATGATATATATTTTTTGTAACTAATTACCATATTACAGTAAATTTATTTTTAATTTGACAGTTAGAGAACAATGAATTTAAATATTAAAAATTGTTTGAGGTATATTGGGAAGAATCTAATAAAAAATATATAACCTATTGAAACATAGTCTGTATAGACGTTTAAGATTTAGTTTAAAAACTTTTTTTTTTGGTTTGTCAAAATATGATAATCTAAAATATTTTAAAAATAAATAAATAACTTAGTTCCATATTACAAATATAACATGGTATACCAAACGCAACCAAAATTCGATAATAGGGAAGAACTTGCAAGTTGCAACATGACTTATATGGAATGGAAATGTGACCGTTCATTTGCCACCATTGGTAAGTAAGATGTAAGACCACGAAAGAGCACGTTTTCTTAGAAATGAAGGGAGACCATATCTCCTATCACAATTATCCACTTTCTTCATCCAAAATCTAATGTTTCCCTCTTTATCATAAATTAATAAAAATAATGATAATTGTTTCACAAGTTAAACTACTTGAATTTGATAGCAATTTAACAAGTTTTTATCATATTTTTGAAAAAAAAAATATTAATGGGATAGGTATAGTTTTAAAAATATTTACCAGATATAATTTTAAAATTTAATAGGTTTTAAAATTTTTTATTTTTTTAATTCTTTTTTTATTGGTTTTGAATCTCAACCAATAAGGATTTTTACAAAAACCAACAAACAATGTTTAGAATCAAAATCAACAAACACCTCTTAAATTAAAATCATCTAAATAATTAATATACCATTAAATCGAAATTGCAGGGAAAAAACAATTTTTAAAATTAAACTATATAATTTAATTCGATTTGATATATATATATATATATATATATATATATATATATATATATATATATCCTCCTTAATTAAATGGAAAAATATTTTTTAATGTACAATTTTAAAATAAGAAAGGAAAAAACATATTTAATACAATTTAATATCATATATGATATTTATTACTTTACATATATAAGTTTATAACTTTAATTTTAAAAATTAAATTAAATCAAACATTGACAAGTGAATAATATTTATTTTAAAAACCCACAAAATGATAAATATTAAAACTCACGAGAGATTGACACGTGACAAAAAAAAAAATTATTTATTAAGGATGATATATATATATATATATATATATATATATATATATATATATATATATATATATATATATATATATATATATATATAACCCGGGAGAACTACAGTTATAAAACTAATTAAACTTTCATATTAAGAATCAAAACTATTAATCAATTATTTTAAATAAATTATTACTTGAGAGATATTTTTTAATTATATAAAATTATAACTATTGATTTAAAAAATAAAGTGAAGTTATATCAACTTATAATCTGTATTAATTTTTTTTAATATAATGTAATTAATTTAATATAATTAGAGTGAAAAATTTTAAATTTTGAAATTTAAAATGAAGAATCAATTATTAAATTAATGTAATTAGAATGGTAATTTAAAATCTGAAATTTAAAATTGATAATTAACATATTGATAAATGGTTTGATGCGTAACATATAATATAAATGAAGCGTTTTAATAATATGAAATTTGTGAATAGAAGAATAAACATATTCATCTATGTAACATCATTTTGGTTAAAAACTCCAATTGAACATGTTTATTTGTTTCTTAAACTTTCTATTAAAAATATCTCATTAGCTTAAATCGGTATCATATTAGATCCTCTATATTAGTCTATCATCAAACGAAAATGGTAAATCGTATTATGTTAGATCCTATCATAAACAAAGACAAATGTGTTATTTAATTAGCATATAAAAGCTTTTAACCAGGAAATATTAAATTTTGCATAAATGATTCAATCTTCGTGAGATACATACGATATTTTATCAAATTAATTGTTATTTTTTTTTACACAAAACATATAACTCATGATGTTTGATTAAAAGTTTTAGACATTTATATTAACTACAAAAAAAAAAAAAAAAAAAAGAGGTAGCCGTACTAGTAATCAAAGGAATTGACCATCTTCCGTTTATGTTAAATAATCTACGAATTAACGCCATATGCATAATTTTTTTTCTTCTATATTTGGAAGATTTTTTACAATTATGTTATAAAATCAATTAATCAATTAATTAACATAACTAATTTATACTTTATACTTTATATTGCACATAAATCAAGTTGCACATGTAAATATTCTTTTGTTTCTAATCAAAGTTCTCGCGGTGTATTGGAATCTTTTTAACTACTCCATTGTTACAAATGTTAGAACCGATTATAATAAACGTGACAACTAAATTTATCATTTATTTTTGCCTTACATAATAATTAACAAAAAGATTTTTTTGTCTTTCATATATAGCAACTTGATTAGTTTATAATTACAAGCTTAATGGATCTACAAATCTTTTCAAATGTAGGCAAAAGTGACTTAATTGAAAAATAAATATAATGGTTGACAGTTTGAGTGTTTGTTGTGGCGGTGTACGGGTGGCACCTTCGGTACTTCATACCTTGGTTATTGTACTTCATGTATAAAAATTGTATCAAATTAGTTATGTATGTTTTTAATTAGTTTGGGAATTAGTTTTGTATAATTTTAATTAATTTGTATTTAATTAAAAAAATTGAAAGAGTGGGAAAAGATGAAAAATAACGATGAAAGAGATGAACTCATGGGATACGAGAAGCGATTTGGGAAGGATTGGAAGGAAGGACTTTCTAAACGTTAAGTATACATAATCGAGATTATTAAATAATTAATTGAAAAGATAATACGTTAACACCAAATCAACTAATAATTAAAGAAACACTAATAAAAGTAGTATTAAAAAATATGAAGACAACTAATAAAAAAACATTTTAGGAAGATTTTTTATTAAAGATAATTAGGGAACATTACGGAGCCACTTATTTCAATGTTTTTGTTACATTAACACCAAATCAGTAATAATTAAACAAACATTAATAAAAATAGTATTAAAAAGATATGAGGACAACTAATAAAAAAAAAAAAAGACATCTTAGGAAGATTTTTTGATTAATGATAATTAAGGGACATTGTGGAGTCATTTATTTCAATGTTTTTGTTTTTTGTTTTTTTGTTTTTTTTTTTTTTTTTTTTTTTTAAGAATC